AAAGGTGTTATTATATAAAGGTGAATGTTGCATTGACTCTGAGGCTGTAGAGTGAGTTGGGAGGTGTAAGGAAGAAGTGTACTTATGGAGAGAGAGAACAAGGGCGAATATTGGTGAAGTTGTGTTGTGGTTGACCTGACCAGGGAGGGAGACTGTCAGGTGGTACTCGTTTCATCCTCGTATTAATGGTGTTTGAAACCACACACACACACACACACACACACACAGTCAGTTTGGGCATACCTCGAGGGGGTGTTGGCGCTCAAACTTTCAGTTTATCTGTCGAATTTTTGTGTTGCCGACCAAAACATTGCATCTAGTTAGGGCCAAAATATCCAACCATAAAAGATTATTTTATATATAACTTGTACATAGTCTTTGTTAGGTTAGGTTAGGTTAGGTTAGGCTAGGTTAGGTTAGGTTAGGTTACATTAATCTCACGGAGAAATAAACTATGGTGGCTAATCTTCAGGTGGTCCAAATATTGACCTTGAGATAAATGTATGAACCAAAAGAGATGTCAAACGGTACCTAAAGTTACACGTACATTAAACCAGGCGACTCAGATGTTTATCATTAACGCTGCTTTCTGTCCTTATTATTACACACACACACACCTTATAGGTAGTAGGTAGTAGGCAGCTACCAAACAGGGAGGTACTGGGAAGATATTGGAAGCATAATGTGTTGTCTAATGGTAGACCCTGCTGCCACATGTGACCAAGTCCCAGGTTATTAATCTGACTTTCTGCTCATCTACACACAATTGCAGGGGTCTCAATTGTTTCTCTTACTATTGACAACACAAAATACATATATTGTTTCTCATCTTGATCTTTTTTCATTTTATTTTATTATTGTGTTGTTGTTTGTTGTTTGTTGTTGTTGTTGTTGTTTCGCCCCCAGGCTCAGATGTGGGTCAGTGACCTGTGCCCAGGTGGGCTAATACCCGTAAAAAAAGAAACGAAAAGAAAAAAAAATCACACACAACGCCAGTATCCAAATATTCTGCTCTTGTGTACTACACTCTCACCTTCTCTCAAGGTGTTGTTAGGTCAACTGCACTGCGCCCCTACACACACACACACACACACACACACACACACACACACACACACACACACACACACACAGCCTCTGCTCTCACTTAACACAGTGTACTTAATCTACTTATCTACCTGCCCCACTCTAATTTACTCCCAGCTGCCCTGCCCATTATCCCTCTCCCGCCCACACCCCGGAAATAGGTGGAGATTGGACAGCGTGACAGGGGTAGTGTGCAGATGGTTCTTGTTGGAATGTATAGGAAAGGGAATGCGTGGGCGTGGAAGTATTTGTGGGCGTGGTCAGGCTATGGCGGTTATGGGTGGCGTAAAGAAGGTGAATAGGCGTGGGCGGGAGTCAAGTGGCAACTGTTAGGGGTGGCGTATAGAAGGCGCGTATGGCGGTAAGTAAACAGCCAGTGGGCGGACCGGGTGACAGGAGTGACGGGAGAGAGAGGGCGTAAGACGCAAGGTGCTACAAAAGCGGTGGATGGGCGTGGCATGGGCGGCTGGGTGACAGGTGGTATGGATGGCGTAAAGGCGGCTTATGGGCGTGCCAGAGCGATGAGTGTCTGGAGTGCAACATGGGTGTATGTGCAAGTGACAAGGGCAGGGGTCAGGTAGAGGCTGGTATGGGCGTGTGGGCGTGTGGTGGGCGGCAGGAGTTATGGGCGTGTACAGGTAGGTGGAGCTGATAAATAAACAGGCGATAATGGTCGTGTGGGTTAGAGCAATGGCGATGGCGTGTGGCGGGAGATGAGGGAGATGGGAAGGCTGAGGGAGATGGGGAGGCTGAGGGGAGATGGGGAGGCTGAGGGGAGATGGGGAGGCTGAGGGAGATGGTGAGCTGTGGGGAGATGGGGAGGCTGAGGGAGATGGGGAGGCTGGGGGGAGATGGGAGCTGAGGGGGATGGGAGGCTGAGGGAGATGGGGGAGGTTGAGGGGAGATGGGAGGCTGAGGGGGATGGGGAAGCTGGGGAGATGGGGAGGCTGGGGGATGGGGGGGCTGGGGGGATGGGGGAGGTGAGGGAGATGGGGGCTGGGGGGTGGGGGGCTGGGGGGATGGGGGGCTGAGGGGAGTGGGGGTGAGGGTGGGGGGTGGGGGTGGGGTGGGGTGGGGGTGGGGTGGGGGTGGGGTGGGTGGGGGGTGGGGAGATGGGAAGGCTGAGGGGATGGGGAGGCTGAGGGAGATGGGAGCTAAGGAGAGAATGAACACAGAGATGAGGGGGAAAAAATTTTAGAAAACATACAAGGGGAGGAACAATTAGGGTAGGTAAGGGGAGACTAAAGAGAGGAGAATAAAATTGAAGAAACAAAATAAAACAAAAAAGCAGAATATTAAAGAGATGAAAAGGGTGGGAGAATAATGAACAAATATTCTGGGGAGATAAGGAGGATGTTGACCACACAGGGAGAAAAAGATAGATAATAGTAAAAGTTGGGGAGATAAGTACAGGTGCAGCGGCGGGGGAGGAGAGAGATGGTAAAGGTTAGGGAGAGAACATAAGGGGTAGGGAAGGGGAGGAAGGAAACAAAATACCCCATACCCACCTAATAAAATCTTGCCCGAGGATATTCCGTGCCCACCACCACACCAAATTCAATCCTCAAGGTCAAAGGTTGGAGGTCACACACACACACACACAGGTACAGTACAATAGGTGAACCTGTAGCGGCCTCCACATGGTGTAGAATAACAACACACCGTTTATCTAATGGGTTCCTTCCTTTCCTTTCCTCTCTCTCTTTCTTTGTCCTTCTCTCCTTCCTTCTCTCCCCCCCTCACTCCCATTGTGGTCCCCTCGTTCAATACCATGAGGAAGCGGGGAAGGAGGGAGGGAGAGGAGAAAGGGGAGAGGAAGGGAGAGAGAGGAGGGTAGGGAGTGGAGGAGGAGAGGAAGGGGAAGGAGGGGAGGAGGGAAGGAGGAGGGAGGTTAGGGGAGTGGAGGAGGGAGGGGGAGGTTAGGGTAGGGGAGGGATGACATTTCCACCACAAAACCTTCCTCATCCCTTGTCTTCCTTCCCTCCTCAGGTACACCATCAGGTACACCCACAGGTACACCACAGGTACAGGTAAACCACAGATACACCATAGGTACACACATGGGTTACACCACAGGTACACCACAGGTAAACCCACAGATACACCATGGGTACACCCACAGGTGCACAGAGGTCCTGGAGTGAAACCCACAGGTGCACCATAGATGCACCTACAGGTACACCCACAGGTACACCACACAGGTGCACCACAGGCCGTGGGACCTACAGGTACACCACAGGTGCACCACAGGTAAACCCACAGGTACACCATAGGTACACCCACAGCACACACCACAGGTTACCCACAGGTATACACAGGTACACACAGGAAATTCAGGTACACCCACAGGTACATTCAAGCAGGCACACAGGTACACCTCAGGTACACCCACATAAGTCCGAATCACAGGCACCCCACAGGCACACCACAGGTACACCCACAGGTACACCCCTCAGGTACACCACAGGTACACCTTCAGGTACACCCACAAAGTGCACCACAGGTACACCCACAGGTACACCCCTCAGTGCACACCCCGCAGGTGCACCCACAGGTACACCCTCAGGCACACAGGTACACCTAAAGTACACCACAGGTACACCTCAGGTACACCCACAGGTGCACCCACACACACTCCTTTCCACTAGTTTTACCGATAACGTGACTAATTCAAAACCCAGCTAATTAGAGTTGCCAAACTTTCGTGCTTAACGCCGTGACAACATGGCATGGCGGGAGGGGGGGTGGTGGGTGGATATTAGGGTGGAGGAGGAGGGTGAAGAGGGGGAGGAGGGGTGGAGGGGAGGAAGAGGGGTGGTGGAAGGAAGAGGGGTGGGGAAGGAGGGGTGGGTGGAAGAAGGAGGGGTGGGTGGAAGAAGGAGGGGGTAGAGGGAAGGAAGACGAGTGGGGAAGAAGAAGAAGGGTGGAGGAGAGAAGGGGGTGGGTGAGATATCAGTGAGGAGGGGGGGGTGGAGTAGGGGAGTAGAGGGAGGGTGAGTTGGATATGTGGTGTTCAAGTAGGACCTCGACCTGACAGACCCTGTTCCCTGTACCTCCCTGAGAGATGACTACAAGTCACACACACTCCTCCAAGCTGCTTCACCACACTGTGTTACACCTAGACCTGAAACACTTACTGATGACTTACTGCTGACACAAACTAACGGAGGGTTATATCCAAATAAACAACAACACAAAAATAACAACAACAAATAACAATAACAAATTAAAAAAACAAATAAATAACAAACAAATAACAACAACAATAATAGTAATAATAATAATAATAATAATAATAATAAAATAATAATACCACCACCAGGCTCATTCCGGCCCCATCAGGTAATTATGACTGCAGGGGAGGAACACATCACTGAAGCAAGAGACGTAAACAAACAATTAATGAATGGGGAGTGATGTTTACATTCTTGTACTGTTACTAGGTACAGTGTGTGTGTGTGTGTGAATCACTGACACACACACACACACACACAGATCAATACAGCCTCGGACAAGCCACAATAAAGACCTGCAACCTTACCATCGCAATAATTGAATTTGCACATTAATTCACCAGGACATAAAGAATATATAATTTGTTTTGGTATAATTATGGACCTGGATTATACGGCCTGGGACCTGAGCTGCCCTGGGGGAGGGGCAGCTGGTGGAGAGAGCGAGAGGGGGGAGGTAGGGAGAAGAAATGAGGGAGAGAGGGGAGGAGGGAGGGAAGGAAGAAGATAGTCAAGGAGCAGTTGAAAGAGAGAGAGAGAGAGAGAGAGAGAGAGAGAGAAGAGAGAGAGGAGAGAGAGAGAGGGGGGGGGGGGGGAGAGAGAGAGAATAACTAACGAAGAGATAATAGATAAAACCAAATAAAAAAACAGTAGTAAGTAAGAAAATACTACAAATTGAAGTCAGATTCTGGAGACCTTGGTGGTAGACCTTGGTGGTAGACCTTGGTGGTAGGCCTTGTAGGCCGGTGGTAGACCTTGGTGGTAGACCCTGGTGGTAGACCTTGGTGGTAGACCTGGTGGTAGGCCTTGGTGGTAGACCTTGGTGGTAGACCTTGTGGTAGACCTTGTGGTAGACCCAGGTAGACCTGGTGGTAGGCCTTGTAGACCTTGTGGTAGACCCAGGTAGGCTGTGGTAGACCCAGGTAGACCTTGTAGACCTGGTGGTAGGCCATGGTGGTAGACCTGGTGGTAGACCTGTAGACCTTGGTGGTAGACCTTGTGGTAGACCTGGTGGTAGACCTTGGTGGTAGACCTTGTAGACCTTGGTGGTAGACCTTGGTGGTAGACCTTGGTAGACCCCAGGCCTTGTGGTAGACCTTGGTGGTAGACCTGTAGTAGACCTGGTGGTAGACCTTGGTGGTAGGCCATGGTGGTAGACTTGGTAGACCTTGGTGGTAGACCTTGGTGGTAGACCTTGGTGGTAGACCTGGTAGACCTTGGTGGTAGACCTGGTGGTAGGCCATGGTGGTAGACCTGGTGGTAGACCTTGGTAGACCTGGTGACCTGGTGGTAGACCTTGGTGGTAGCCTTGGTGGTAGACCTTGGTGGTAGACCTTGTAGACCTGGTGGTAGGCCTTGGTGGTAGACCTTGGTAGACCTTGGTGGTAGACCTGTGGTAGACCCAGGTAGACCTTGGTGGTAGACCATGGTGGTAGACCTTGGTGGTAGACCTTGGTAGACCTGGTAGACCTGGTGGTAGACCTGGTGGTAGACCTGTGGTAGACCTAGGTAGACCTGGAGACCTGGTGGTAGACCATGGGTAGACCTTGGTAGACCTTGGTGGTAGACCTTGGTGGTAGGCCTTGGAGAGACCTGTGGTAGACCTTGTGGTAGACCTTGGTGGTAGACCAGAGACCTGGTGGTAGACCTTGTAGACCTTGGTAGGCCTTGGTGGTAGACCTTGGTGGTAGACCTGGTAGACCTTGTGGTAGACCAGGTGGTAGACCTTGGTGGTAGACCTTGTGGTAGACCTGTAGCCTGGTGGTAGACCTGGTGGTAGACCTTGGTAGGCCATGGTGGTAGACCTTGGTAGACCTTGGGTGGTAGACCTTGGGCCAGGTAGACCTTTGGTAGGCATGGTGGTAGACCTTGGTGGTAGACCTTGTGGTAGGCCTTGGTGGTAGACCTTGAGTAGACCTGGTGGTAGACCTTGGAGACCTGGTGGTAGGCCTGTAGACCTGGTGGTAGACCTTGGTGGTAGACCTTGGTGGTAGACCTTGGTGGTAGGCCTGGTGGTAGTAGACCTTGGTGGTAGCATGGTGTGGTAGACCTTGGTGAGACCTTGGTGGTAGACCTGTAGACCTGGTGGTAGACCTTGGTGGTAGACCTGGTAGACCTGGTGGTAGGCCATGGTGGTAGACTGGTGGTAGACCTTGTGGTAGACCTTGGTGGTAGACCTGGTGGTAGACCTGGTGGTAGGGCCATGGTGGTAGACCTGGTGGTAGACCTGGTGGTAGACCTTGTGGTAGGCCTTGGTGGTAGACCAGACCTTGGTGGTAGACCTGTGGTAGACCTTGGTGGTAGACCTGGTAGACCTTGGTGGTAGGCCATGGTGGTAGACCTTGTGGACCTTGGTGGTAGACCTTGGTGGTAGACCTGGTGGTAGGCCTGGTGGTAGACCTTGGTGGTAGACCTTGGTGGTAGGCCTTGGTGTGGTGAGGCCTGTGGTGGTAGGCCATGGTGGTAGACCTTGGTGGTGTAGACCTTGGTGGTAGGCCTGGTGGTAGACGGTGGTGCCTGGTGGTAGACCTTGGTGGTAGACCTGGTAGACAGGTGGTAGGCCTTGGTGAGGTGACCTTGGTGGTAGAACGCTTGGTTGAGCCTTGGTGGTAGGCCTTGGTGGTGACCTTGTGTGGTAGACCTTGGTGTGAGGTAGGGCATGGTTGGTAGACCTGGTGGTAGGCCTTGGTGGTAGACCTTGGTGGTGGGAACCTTGGTGGTAGGCCTTGATTGGTAGACCTTGGTGGTGGGCTTGTGGTGTGGTAGACCTTGGTGGTGAGCCATGGTGGTAGACGGTGGTGGGCCATGGTGGTGAACCTTGGTGGTAGACAAAGAAACGTGTGTGCGTGACAACAGGGAGGGGGAGGGGGAGGGGGAGGGAAGGGGAGAGGAGAGGGAGGGAGGGAGGGAGGGAGAGGGAGGGGGGTAGGAAGAGGAGGGAGGAGGGAATGGAAGGAGAGGTGAAGGGGAGAGGGGGGGTAGGAAAAGAAGAGGGAGAAGTATAGGAAGAGGAGGAGGAAAAGTGAAGAGAACCGGTGGTGGGGGTAAAAGAGGCGAGGAATGGGAGTAAGAGGAGAGAGAGGAAATGGGGCTGTGAGGGGTAGAGTGGTAATAAGGGAAGGGGTAATAGGATAAAGCAGAGAAATAGGGAGGGTAATGAGGAGAAATAGGGGAAGGGGAAGATCAAATTCCCCAAATATGATTCACATCTCTCTCTCTCTCTCTCTCTCTCTCTCTCTCTCTCTCTCAGACAGAAATTCAACCAAATAGACAGACACAGACAGACGTCACATAGGACCGTGTGACCTAAAGTAAAAAAAAAGTAACATTTGCTGAACAATAACTAGAGATGAAGAAAATCTAATTAGCACAGGTATGACGTCACAGAGGTAAACACGTTAGCATAGGTATGATGTCATGCAGATTAATTTACCAGCGGATGTATGATGCACGCAGGTAAGGAAGTTAACAGGTATGACATCACACAGGGATGACGTCAACAGGTAAGGTAGTTAACAGAGGTATGACATCACACAGGGATGACGTCATACAGGTAAGGTAGTTAACGGTATGACGTCAACAGGTAAGGTAGTTAATAGGTATGACATACAGGGATGACGTCATACAGGTAAGGTAGTTAACAGAGGTTGACGTCAACAGGTAAGGTAAGTTAATAGGTATGACATCACGGGGATGACGTCATACAGGTAAGGTAACAGAGGTATGACGTCACACAGGGATGACGTCAACAGGTAAGGTAATTAACAGAGGTATGAAGCCACACAGGGGATGACGTCAACAGGTAAGGTAATTAACAGAGGTATGAAGCCACACAGGGATGACGTCAACAGGTAAGGTAGTTAACAGGTATGACATCACACAGGGATGACGTCATACAGGTAAGGTAGTTAAAGAGGTATGACGTCACACAGGTAAGGTAGTTAACAGGTATGACATCACACAGGGATGACGTCATACAGGTAAGGTAGTTAACAGAGGTATGACGTCACACAGTTAAGGTAGATAACAGAGGTATGACGTCACATAGGTAAACTAGTTAGCAGGTGCAGGTGTCATTAGCCCAGCGGTCATGCACTGCACCTACGCCCTGCTTGACAACTTAATTCTTGCTTACATTACGCCAGTAAGTCGTCAGCGTGTAACAGCGTGCAACATGAAGCAACTGGGTGCAACGTAAACCCATCAGTGTGCAACAGGGAGAAACAGTGTGCAACAGGGAGAAACAGTGTGCAACAGGTCTCATCAGTGTGCAACAGAAAGAAACAGCGTGCAACAGGTCTCATCAATGTGCAACAGAGAGCAAAGAAGCAACACACACACACACACACACACACACACACACACACACACACACACACACACACACACACACACACACACACACACCATTTTGGTTGCATATTTTAATTTAATTTTTCCGTGAATTGAAATTTAGTGACCAATTCCGAAATTTTCCTCTTCTCTTTTTTCCCTCAAAACTCAATTTAGGATCCCGGTGTCCCCTCCATCACGTGGCCTCCATACCTCAGTCAGGTGACCTCCACCAAAAATGACCTCCCCTCCCTCTACCTCCTGAGCGACTCCCTCCCAATTTCTGTAATCTCAAGTATTTCACCAATTTACAACACGTCAACGGCCTATAAAAATACCATTAAAATACTGCACATCCCTGACTCTACCTGTACCAGCACTCACTCTCAGGGCCCAGCCAGGTACTGCACATCCCTGACTCTACCTGTACCAGCACTCACTCTCAGGGCCCAGCCAGGTACTGCCTCCCTGACTCTACCTGCACTCACTATCAGGGCCCAGGCGGTACTGCATCCCTGACTCTACCTGTACCAGCACTCACTCTCAGGGCCCAGACAGGTACGCATCTGACTACCTGTACCAGCACTCACTCTCAGGGCCAGACAGGTACTGCACACCCTGACTCTACCTGTACCAGCACTCACTCTCAGGGCCCAGACAGGTACTGCACATCCTGACTCTACCTGTACCAGCACTCACTATCAGGGCCCAGACAGGTACTGCACATCCCTGACTCTACCTGTACCAGCACTCACTCTCAGGGCCCAGCCAGGTGCACTGACTCTACCTGCATCACTATGGGGCCCAGACAGGTACTGCACATCCCTGACTCTACCTGTCCCAGCACTCACTCTCAGGGCCCAGCCAGGTACTGCACATCCCTGACTCTACCTGTACCAGCATACTCTCAGGGCCCAGCCAGGTACTGCACATCCCTGACTCTACCTGTACCAGCACTCACTCTCAGGGCCCAGACAGGTACTGCACATCCTGACTCACCTGTACCAGCACTCACTCTCAGGGCCCAGCCAGGTACTGCACATCCTGACTCTACCTGCACTCACTACAGGGCCCAGACAGGTACTGCACATCCCTGACTCTACCTGTACCAGCACTCACTCTCAGGGCCCAGACAGGTACTGCATCCCTGACTCTACCTGTACCAGCACTCACTCCAGGGCCCAACGGTACTGCATCCCTGACTCTACTGTACCAGCACTCTCTCAGGGCCCAGACAGGTACTGCACATCCCTGACTCTACCTGTACCAGCACTCACTATCAGGGCCCAGACAGGTACTGCACATCCTGACTCTACCTGTACCAGCACTCACTCTCAGGGCCCAGCCAGGTACTGCACATCCCTGACTCTACCTGCACTCACTATCAGGGCCCAGACAGGTACTGCACATCCCTGACTCTACCTGTCCCGCACTCCTCTCAGGGCCCAGCCAGGTACTGCACATCCCTGACTCTACCTGTACCAGCAATTACTCTCAGGGCCCAGCCAGGTACTGCACATCCCTGACTCTACCTGTACCAGCACTCACTCTCAGGGCCCAGACAGGTACTGCATCCTGACTCTACCTGTACCAGCACTCCTCTCAGGGCCCCAGGTACTGCACATCCTGACTCTACCTGTACCAGCACTCACTCTCAGGGCCCAGACAGGTACTGCACATCCGCTCTACCTGTACCGCCTCCTCTCAGGGCCCAGCCAAGTACTGCACATCCTGACTCTACCTGTACCAGCACTCACTCTCAGGCCAGCCAGGTACTGCACATCCCGCTACCTGTCCAGCACTCTCTGGGCCCAGACAGGTACTGCATCCCTGACTCTACCTGTACCAGCACTCACTCAGGGCCCAGCCAGGTACTGCACATCCTGACTCTGTACCAGCACCACCCAGGGCCCAGCCGCTGCACATCGACTCTACCTGTACCAGCACTCACTCAGGGCCCAGCCAGTACTGCACATCCCTGACTCTACCTGTACCAGCACTCACTCCAGGGCCCAGCCAGGTACTGCACATCCTGACTCTACCTGTACCAGCACTCACTCTCAGGGCCCAGCCAAGTACTGCACATCCCTGACTCTACCTGTACCAGCACTCACTCCAGGGCCCAGCCAGGTACTGCACATCCCTGACTCTACCTGTACCAGCACTCACTCTCAGGGCCCAGACAGGTACTGCACATCCTGACTCTACCTGTACCAGCACTCACTCAGGGCCCAGCCAGTACTGCACATCCTGACTCTACCTGTACCAGCACTCACTCTCAGGGCCCAGCCAGGTACTGCACATCCTGACTCACCTGCCAGCACTCCTCCAGGGCCCAGCCAGGTGCACATCCCTGACTCTACCTGTACCAGCACTTACTCTCAGGGCCCAGCCAGGTACTGCACATCCTGACTCTACCTGTACCAGCACTCCTCAGGGCCCAGCCAGGTACTGCACATCCCTGACTCTACCTGTACCAGCACTTCACTCTCAGGGCCCAGCCAGGTACTGCACATCCCTGACTCTACCTGTACCAGCACTCCTCTCAGGGTAAACAAGAACAGGAATAGAGAACTAAAGAAAGAGACGAAGGAAAAAAGGATAGAAATTCCTCTCTCTTTCCAACTTCTCCCTTTTCATTTTACTTTTCCACATTCATTTATCTTCTTGTTCCATTCATTCTCTCTTTATCACGTTATTGTATCTCCTCTCCTTCCCTTATTTACCCCTTTCCTTCCCTTCCCCTTCTCTTCCATATTCTTCCTCATCATCACATTAGCCATCCTCACTTCCTTGCCCTCATCACCCCTCCTCTCTTATACCCTTCATTATTCCCCTCCCTCCCTTCCCTTCATCTTCCCCAACCTCCCTTC